CCTAGCCTAAGATAGTGACGTGGACCTCCTAGCCTAAGATAGTGACGTGGACCTACTGACATCTTCATCAGTTCACTCTTAGTGTTTTAAGCTTGTCTGCAGGATAGGCAGGGATTAAAACTGTGACTTGAGGACTCTTCATGCTGTCATGACCATTTAACTCTATACTGAATGTAGGTTTAAATGTAGAATATTACTGTTAAACTTTCGGCTTCTTTTTATTACTGGTACATGAGGTTAAATTCCCATTCTATCCTTGAACCTAACTAACTCCATTACCAGTCCCACTTCAAGCTGGGCATGGTGCACATGCCTGTAATCCCAGCATCTGGGAGGCTGAGGCAAGATTGCCATGAGTTCGTGGCCAGACTTGGCTACACAGTGAGTTGAAAGACAGCCTGAATTACAGAGCAAGACCCTGTCTCAAAAAACAAAACAGCCCCACCTCTAGAACAGATGGACAGACCAAGGCGCAAAGATGTGAAGGGTCGCACTAAGGCGCAGCACCCTCAGAAGGCCGAGCTGCCTACTGGATCACTTCAGAAAGGGCCACACTCTGCCCAGTCTCTGGTGGCTCCACAGAAGCTACAAGTTACTGTTAGCCTGCATTCTAATAATCAGAGTTGGAGTAAGTTTGCCTAATGATTCTATCTTTCCATTTAAAGCTTTTGAAGACAGACACCTGTGCTGTATTAAGGCTTTTTGACTCACAAGTGGTAAAGTAAGCATTAAGTTACCCAAAAGGGGGAAGAGGGAACTCTTCATACCAGCACTCTGTAAGGCTGAAACAGAGGATCCCAAATTTAAGCTTATCCTAGAAAACCTAAAAGAAAAAAATAATAATAATAATGCTGAGAATGTAGCTCAGTGACAATGTTCAAGGTTCTGTGTGCAATATCAATACACACATGCACACACACTTTCTGAGAGCCATGGTGCAAGTACAGCCTCTTCAGAGGCTCGACCTCCACAAGAAATCTGTAGTTACATTGGCAGCTCTTCGCTCTGTACGCTCAGGAACAAGAATGTGTAACTTCATGGAATTCTTCATAATGGCACTAGGGACCACACTGATAGCCCCTAGAGGCCATACCTCTGACTTCTCACCTAATTCTCCTAAATACTCCATGCAGAACTGGCTAATGGAATTGAACCCAACTTGATGAATAGGAGAGCTAGGGAAGGCACACAGGACATCTGCTGCACAATTAAAAGCATCTATTATGTTTTGGTAGGATCATTGTTACAGCAAAACTTCTCTGCATCTGAATTTTGGAACAAGGCTGTTCCGCTGCAGCTGTTAGCTTCCCCAGCCCATCAGCAACAATGGCTGATGGGCTTCATGGCTGCTGACTGTAAGCATTGTATATACATTATCTTTTTATCTTTTTTTTTTTTTTTTTTTTTTTTGGTGGAACCAGGGATTGAACTCAGGCCCTTGTGCTTGCCAGGGAAGCGCTTATTCTACAAGCTGTCTCCCCGGCCCCATTATCTCATTCAGTCTTCAAAACAGCTCTGTAAAGTATACATGTTATTGGTTACATTTTACAGATGAGGAGACCAAAGAATTTAAATAACTTATCCAAAGACTCACAGCAAGAGGCAAGATTTAGGTTTCAATCCAGACAGCCTAAGTCCGCAGCTCACACTGCGAACCTCTGCTGTATAAGAATGTCTTGCCCGAAAGTTGTTTCAGGAGAGTGTGCCCTCCCGTCCTTTTGAAGACTGAAAACTTGTTCCAGCCTCTGTCATTTATTATTGTTGAGGAACAGTTCGGGTCTAAGTGAGCATTTTATTTGGAGTCTTTCCAAAAGAACTAGATTGTTATTTCTCTTCTTACAGGAAAATACTTTTTCTTAATTGAATCTCATTTTCATTGTTATATTTCTTAAATGTGTTTCATTTTTTTACTTCACCAAGCAACATTATATTTTATAGTATCTTTTATTTTTCCAAGCAGATTTTATTGGTACATCTGAGTTGTACATAGTGATCAGATTCATCACAGAATTTGTACCTGTACATGATATAACTTGTTTTTCCCCATGATAGTGTCTTGACAGTAATTTTATGAAAATAGTCTACAAATAAAAAGATGGCATTATATAAGTCACAGATTGATTTTTGTTTTCCAGGAAATAACAGTTCAGCAGCTAATGGCTCACTTGGATTCCATCAGGAAAGATATGGTCATCCTAGAAAAAAGTGAATTTGCGAATCTGAGAGCAGAGAATGAGGTGATAGAAGTTTTACTTTATTACTAGTAACTGACCTTACAAATGTGCTACTTGCTGAATTAGTAAGACCAAATAACCGCATGTGGTTATTACTAAAACAGTTAACAAGTACTTAGATTAAAAGTTATAGTTTTACCATGCCTAATTTTTACAGCTTCTTATATACTGCAGAATAAATTTGTAAAAATCACACAAAAGGAAAAAATCTTTGAGCTCTATATGGTATATAAAATTTCTAATTACAAGTCATGCATGGTGGTATATACCTATAATCTCAGCAGTATGGGAGCTAACACAAGAGGATATAAAGTTCACAAAACTTAGGTATTTGGCAAGATCCTATTTCAGAATAAAAAATTAAAGAGAGGGATGCAGCATAGCTCTGTACAGCCCTGGGCTTCGGTCCCCACCATGGCAAAAATATTCTGTAGTTAACCATGCAATGTTTGCAAAGATGAAAGTAATGGGTTTTCCATTGTACTTGAGCCTATACTAATTATCTTTGTCATTTGAGGAAAAATGTGTAATAAAGCCAGAAATTTAAAGTAATACTAGTCACATAAACATAGCTTAATTTTTTTTTTTTCTTTTCCCTGAACCGGGGATTGAACTCAGACCCTTGCACTTACCAGGGAAGTGTTTGGCCTACTGACCCATCTCCCCACCCCATCTTAAATATTTTGAAATTCAGCTTAAATATTTTTAAATTTAGAAAATCACATCATTTTTAAAGAACAGCAACATAGATGCTTTATCTAATTTTTTTCATAAAAATTATTTTCTGAGTTTGATGGCCTATTCTTTTAGCTATTTCCCTATTAGATTGTGTAATAGAAATCCTTAAAGGTCCAAATTGTGCTGATCTTTTAGGTTTTTTAAATAAATGATAATATTTTTTGTTTAAAGTTAATTACATGTGATCTTTCTTATACTTAGAAAATGAAAATTGAATTAGATCAAGTTAAACAACAACTGATGGTAAGTAAAATTTTTCTACTTATTAACTTCAGGCATTTCATATAACATGATCACTTAAAATTTTTTTCTTTTTTTACTAAAGCATGAAACCAGTCGAATCAGAGCTGATAATAAACTGGACATCAACCTTGAAAGGAGCAGAGTAACAGATATGGTAATAAGCTTCCTAAGTGTGCTTTCTCAGTTACTTGCTCCTTTTTGATTCTTTTTAATCATTTTTTTAACCTCCTGCTGCTTTTCATATTCTTTAGTTCACAGACCAAGAAAAACAGCTTATGGAAGCAACCACAGAATTTACCAGAAAGGTGAGATAGCACGTAGAAATTTCTCTCTACACAGCCTTGCATATCAGTTTATATGTTTGAACTGTCAGAAGCTCTGGAGAACCCGTGGCTTCCTTTCAGCTAGGATAGATGGCCAGCACTGCTGGGAAGTCCACCCCACGTGGACGGTTGTCTAGAGCCGTGCTCCTTGGAGTAAGAATGAAGCCTGCCAGACAGCATACTTTTTAAAACTCATTTTACATAGACAGTACTCTTGAAAAGACAAGATTAGCTGTTGGTATATAAATGATTATCTAGATTTGAATATCTTAAATTTTTTAAATCACAATAAATATTTATGTATGTATTACTTGCCAGATACTATAATTAACATGCTTACTTGTATCTGTAATCTCATTTACAACCTTTGTAAAGTCGATTTTTTTCTTTTCAGACAGGGTCTCCTTATGGAGGTCAGGGTGGCCTTGAGCTCACTTTGTAGCCGAGGCTAGTCTAGACCTCAGCCTCCCAAGTACTGGGATCACAGGCATGTGCCACCATGCCTGGCTTAGAGTAGATGCTACTATTCTCTATGGCTTGATGAAACACCAGCCTTCTAAGCCATCCGAGTCTTTTTAAATTAAAAGCCATTTAGCTTTTTAATAGCTTGCTTGGTATTTAACAAAGCCGATCTGGTTTGTCATAGTAAAGGTCCTGTTCTCTTCCTGGCCAGAGAAAGGAGATAAACAGGGAGCCAGCAGACTTTTCCCAGCTGATTTCTTAGCTCCAGCTCCTGCACATTCAGTGTTACCATCCTGTACATCTGCTGGCTGCTTTGCTGAGTTCATATTATAAACTGGGTGATTTTATTTTTCTTTCACAGAATATATCTGAAGCTTAACCATAACTGGTTTTTGGTTTTTTTGTTTTGTTTTGTTTTGCTTTTTGTTTTGTTTTGTTTACCAGGAATCAAACTTAGGACCTTGCACTTGACAGTCAGGCGCTGTGCCACTGAGCTATATCCCCAACCCAGTTATATATTTAGGTCTCAAATTTCTTCTAAGACAATAGGATATACCTGGTCTATGATTACCCTAAGGAATTACTCCCAAATGTGAAAAGTGGTGGAAGAGTGTAATTTGTGGGCTTACAAAATTCATTAAATGTTTTTAATATTATTATACTTTTACTGTTTTTCTCCAGTTAAAGCTTTTGAAATGTGTAGTTGGTCTGTAGCCACACCACCAAGACAGAACATGCCCTATCTCATCTGAAATGTGCAATTAGCACTTAAGGGAGGGAGGCTTTCTGTTGTAAATGTTTTGTTTTGTTTTGTTTTTATGTATTTAGTACAGGGTCTTACTACACAGATTGGACTCGTAGTGATCCTGTTTTCAGCCTCCCAAGTGCTGGAGTTACAGGCGTGAGCCACCATGCCCAGTCTCAATCCCCATTTCAGTGTGCTCCGGAAGCGGGGCCAGAACGGCAAGCCAGGGATTGAACCTAGTCCCTGTGTCTGCCTAAGCAGGTGCTTTAGTCCACTGAGCTATCTGGCTGGCCCTGTAAATGTTTTTGACCATAATACATAGGGAAAAACATTAGTTCTCATATTCCTATTACCTGCAGGATACCCAAACCAAAAGTGTTATTTCAGAGACCAGTAATAAAATCGACACTGAAATTGCTTCCTTAAAAACGCTGATGGAGTCTAACAAACTTGAGACGATTCGTTATCTTGCAGGTAAGACTATCGGAGCAAGGAATTCGGTCATTTAACGTTCAGACTTGTTATTTCCTACCTTTCACAGTAACCCTGCAGGTATGGGAAGAGAAAAGGTTCCTTTACAGTGTCCCTATAGTACTTGGAAAGAGCTCCAGACTCAGACATAAGTTACCAGTCAGCTATGCAACCAGGAAAAAGCATATGGCTGCCAGAAATCTAGAAACTCTTGTACAAAATGATGCAGGAATAAACTAGGTAATCCACAATGAAGAACAAATTCAGTACTGGAGATCAAACTCAGAGCCTCATACAGCTAGGCAAGTGCTCCACCACTGAGAAACATCCCAGCCCTTGTTTTTATTTTGAGACACTTGCAGAGCCAGAGCGCGTGTCTTGAACTTGGGCTCCTCCTGCCTCAGCTTGCTGAGCACCTGGGACTGTGCAGGTCCTGCCACCTAGCAGTGTTCTTCTTACTGCTTAGGACCTCTCTAAGGATTTGAATGAGGTTAGAGAGAAAAGTCACTAAACCTTCGTAAGCAGAGGGAAGTGCAAAATAATCCCTTACCATGAATCAGCTGAGCACAGCTACTACCACAGAATTAGATTTGTCACATGATGATACCTGTGTCACCATGTGACATACAAATTATATGCACCGGACGGGTTAAGGATGCGCCGACAAGCAGCCTTCATGTTTGCTGCACTTTCTCCTCCCTCCTCCATGAACTGGCAACATCGCCGCCTCCTAGCCTCACATTGTTCCACTTCCACCAACTAAGAGCGCCCTCTTTACTCCTAAGTTCCAGTTTGGAAAAGCCCAGGGAAGCAGTCTGAATGGCCTGTCTTGGATCAGACGCCACCAAAATGGCAGTAACTGTAAGATAATGGCAGTTTCCATTCAGTCTTCTTATGCCTGATGTTCCATTATTGGAATAGTGCACAAGCAGTGGAACATAATAAATATTCTGTTTAGATTTTTCTAGATCTCAAATTAACTTCATTCAAAAATTGTAAACTTTCATGTAAATAGGTTAATGGAAGATTTTGTTCTGGGCAGATGCACAGTAACCAAAGCTCACTTTTATGGAATGCTTAAAATGTGCCAAGCAAATGCGGCCTGAGTATTGTACAGTTAGGGTATCTCCTAGACAAGCTGTGAAAGATAAGCAGCAGACATAAAAGCAATTTACGATTTCTCCATGCTTATCTTAGGGACAACAAAGAGACATAAAAGCTAGAAGAGAAACTAAGCACAGAAACAACACCTTTCTAAGGTGCTGTGTCACCTTATAAAGGAAACCAAATAAAGCCAGGCATAGTGGTGCACACCTTTCATCCCAGCACTTTGGAGGCTGAGGCAAGAAGATCTTTGCAAGTTTGAGACTAGCCTGGGCTACAAAGTGAGCTTAAGGCCAGTCTCAATGACATAGCAAGGCCCTGTCTCAACACACATACACAAATAATAAAACACTTCCCTCATAATAAAGAAGTGTCCATTTAGTAGTCTAAAACTCAACTCTAGGGCTGGGGAGATAGCTCAGTAGAATAAGCACTTAAAGGTCCTAAGTTCAATCCCCGGTACCGCAAAAAAAAAAAAAGTAAAAATAAAAATAAAATAAAACTCAACTTTTACGTTAGCAAAGCACATTAATTCTCTGAGTAGCACTGTAGGGCTCAAAATAATGACAAATCAGATTGTGTCCTTCAGGTGTGATAGGTAGCAGGGCTCTGGCTGCAAGTACACTCGAGTCTTGAATCCTGGCTTCACTCCTTGGTACTGATAACTTCGGGCTTGCTGCCCATCTGTCCAGTGGGGGGAGGGGATGCTACCACCAATTCCATTGGGTTTTAATTAAGATAAGCCAGGTGTGGTGGCACACACCTGTGATCCCGGCATTTGGGAGGCTGAGACAGGAAGATTGCCACAATTTGATTCATTCAAGGCCAGCCTAGAATCAATACATAGAAACCCTCGAAAAATTTTAATTTTTAGAACTATCATTAAATGAGGTAATTATGTAATTGCCCACCACACTAACGTGCTACCCCACCATGGTAATCAGTAGGAGATCAAGTAGAACTGTATCCGTATCCAGGGCCTGGAAGACAAGATACTCAGTGTTGCCGGTCTTTCTCAGAACATGCAGCTTCTCCATGTCTTAAGAGGCCTGACCCCATGTCTTAGAATTCAAGAAAGTGCCTTATATTAAACCAGTGTAGTGAAATCAAATAGGGTTAAACCAGCCTTACTCATGATGTGTCAGGTAGCTTTACTTTGCCTGGCTAAGTTCTTGTTTCTCAAGTCATAAAATTTGCCTCTCATTTCAGATTTCTTATTTTAAAAAATGCTTTCATAACTGTTCACACCAGTTGGAAACAAGGAATGCCCTGAAGCTGTCACTCAGATCTTTTCAAATCTGAAGGAACAGATAGATTCTCTGCCTAAAATGATGCAACACAAAGGCCCGGTGATGCACTAGCTAAAAGCCTGATGCTTTTTTTACCTTTTAGTCTATCTCTTTGTTTTTTAAATTTTTTCATTACATTTCCATTTTTTAAATAATTCTAAGAGGATTTTTTAAGAGATGGGGTCTTGCTGTGTTACTACATAATACTTAATGTAAGAGAGTTTTTCGTTTATCATAAGACGAAGTAAAAGCCAGGCATGGTGCACACCTGCAGTCGCAGCTGTTTGGGAGTCAGACACAAGAGACTCACAAGTTCAAGTCTACTTGGCAGCTCGACAAGATGCCCTCTCAGAATTTTTCATGAAAGAGCCAGGGATATAGCTTAGGGCATTTGTCCCCCATGTTCAAGGCCTTGGATTCAGTTCTCAGTATGAACAAGAAAAGAAAAACAAGTTAGTCCAAAACAAGAAAGAAAAAACTCAGCCATTAATAATGTTAATGTTAAAAATGATTTTAAGTACTTTTATATTTTCTGCCATATCTACATTTTAAAATTATTTTTCTTGTGTCTTAAGACACAGCACACTTTTTTGGTTAATCAAATACTACAGGTGTGATTTAATCAGTATAAAATGGAAAGAGCTCTGTTGATAGCTCTACATTTAAGGTGAAGATAATATTCTGTTAGCAAAATGATCACAAGTGCACGTCCTGTAACACTGTTACTTCTCACACAGCCTCAGTGTTCACTTGCCTGGCCATCGCTTTGGGATTTTATAGATTCTGGAAGTACGAATGACACTGCCCCTCTGCCGCTGAGGGCTCCACAGAACACTACAGACCTTCCTCCAACACTGTCAGCTGCTGAAAAGACTGACTACAAAATTATTCAGAGTATATGTGGACTAGAGAAGTGTTCCAAGTGCTTCACCTTGTGTCGTCCAGAACCTGATCTATTTTAGACGAAAGTGTATTCTGTCCCTAAGCTTTTCATGGTGCATGCAAACGGAACCAGAATATTCTTATGTTGAAACAGTTTTATAAATAAAATGTTGATATGTGCTGCAATTTGAAAAGTATTTCCTGCCCTCTGCACTTACAGGGTTTAACTTTCCCGTTAACCACTGCACAGCTAAGTTTTTATAGAAAGTAAAGGACTAGGACAGCGTGATACGGGGTGGGGACAGAGATACCGCCCATGTCCAGGAAAGCCAGTGGGCCCAAGAGGCAAGGCCAGGACCCATACTGGGGTCCCATGAGGTGGCAGCAGGGATGAGATCCTGCCATGTGCAGGGCCACCTGACCCCAGTGCAGCGGACCTCGCCCTATGCCACTGCAGCCAGAAGCTGAGCACATACTGGAGGGCGAAGCCTGAAGCCCCAGGCCGCACGCATTCTGCATGCACAGCTTTCTCCAAGTTTGGCCTTCTGCACTTGGTCCTCATTCTCCCAAGCACGGCAGGGGCCCGGCCTGCTTTCTCTGCCATGATCAGATTTCACTCAGAAAGTGTTTCTCAGCCCAGGCCTCCAAAGGAAAGCCACTTGCTCAGGATGATGGGATGGCATCCTGTGGACAGGAAGGTGGCCTGAAGCTTGCTATGCAGAAGGCTTTGTCAGATGCATTTCAGAAACTGCCCGTTGTGGTCTGGGGATCCTCAGCATCCTGGAACTGCTGCCTACGTGGGAAAGCTCAGTGGTGGAGAATGGACCGGACCCCGGCCACCATCCTAGCAAGAGCTGGATCTTCAGAGGTGATTTCCAACTGCCTCCCCACAACCCCTAGCCCCCAGGGCTGCAGATCTTTCTGTGGCTACTTCCAGAGTCTCTATAGTCTGCGCTTGAGCCACGAATGATGGCACATGCCTGTAATTCCAGCACTCAGAAGGCTGAGGCAGGAGGACTACCATGAGTTTGAGGTCAGCCTGAAATACAGAGCAAGACCATGTCTCAGGAAACAAAAAAGCCTTCTAAGCAAATACAGCTCTCATTCCATAATACCCTGGTGAGAGCTACAACCCCCTGCATGCATCTGGAGGGAACCCGGGCCTCCCTGCTGGGTTCCAGAGGGGGCACTGGCTTCACCTCCAGCTCCTGTCCCTTCCGTTCACTCTGAGCAGTTTAGTTCTCTACAAGAGTGCTTTCTACGGGAGTATATATCATTCATGCTGCAATGAAAGCACGTAACACCTAGGATGGGGTCTATAAAGCTGCTCTGATTACTGCTTGCATTTTTTAAACTTCATATAAAAACCAATTTTTTCCTGCTTCTTAAACCAACTTAAATTAACCCATCTTAAATTTGTTGCATAAAATGAAGCTTTTCTTGACTCAATTTAAATTCAGCAAACATCTTTTGATGTGTACCTAGGAAATCACAGGACATCCAGATTTTTATTTTATTGTTACATATATATATGCAGTTACAAGGAAAGCACAACATAGCATTTTCATCTTAGGTTTTTCAATTCTAATCCAGGTAACAAAGCAAAGCCAGAAAGTACTAAACATTTAAGATTTCACGTCTAAGTAGTACCTTTGAGAGTGATAATTTTTCAAAGCAATCTTGCTTATTTATTATTTGTATATTAGTAAGGGTCTACAGGGTCTCACTACATAGATCGGACTCGTAGTGATCATCCTGTTTTCAGCCTCCCAAACGCTGGGATTACAGGCGCGCGCCACCATGCCCAGTCTCATTTGCCGTCCCAGCACGCCCCGGGGACGGGGTCAGCACAGCACAATGGGGATCAAATCCGGCAGCTGCATCTGCCTAAGCAGGTGCTTTAATCCACTGAGCTATTTGGCCATCCTTAATCCTGCTTCTTTAAAAATAAACAGTTTTTAAAGCTACAAACAGTCCACTCTGATGAGGTAAACTGGTTTGACTAGGGACTTAGGTGATGGGGCTTGAGTGGCCCTTGCATGCCTGCCAGGAACCAGTCTGTCTGCAGAGAACATTGGCTGTGTCTGCGGGGTGCGGCCTGTCCCACCACAACGACACCAGAGACAGGAAGTCTGTCCAACTGTGGAGCTTACTTCTTGAGTTTAGAGCTGGGATTTATTGGACCGCCTCAAAAACTAACAACTGAACACGCACATTTCCAGCATATAAGTAGCTGCTAAATGACATAGATGTTTCCTTCTCCCTGCACAGATTTAGCAAACAGTGTCTGCAGCCAATAGCGGGACTGTGGCACACAACGTATCATTACTTCTAGATTCTATATGCTTTCCACTAAGACATGATTCGTTTTTTAAAAAATCTTTATTTGGTACAGGATCTCACTACACAGCTTGGACTCATGGTGATCCTCCTGTCTCAGCCTCCCCAGTGCTGAGAATACACGCATGTGCCACCACACCTGCCCTGGCTGGCACATTGCACTTAGGGTTCTGGGCCTGGCATAGCATGCAGTACTGGGGATCAAACCCTGTCCTTCCACTTGCCAGGCAGGCACTTAGACCTCCGAGCTATCTCCCCAGCCCTGAGACTTACTTTATTTTGAGGGTAGTTCTTTCTTTTTTTTTTTTTTTTTTGGCGGAACCAGGGATTGAACTCAGGCCCTTGTGCTTGCCAGGCAAGCGCGTATTCCACTGAGCCATCTCCCCGGCCCCTTGACGGTAGTTCTGGAGTATAAATCAGTTGTTTTTAGAAAGTGGAAATACCTAAAGGATGAAGAGATTGTGTTCCAGTGTGCCAAAACGATTCCATACTATAAAAGTTATGTCTTCTCCCTACACTAAAATGTCCGTTCTCCGGAGGCCTTTAGGTGCAAAGCACGTGCTTGTTCAAAGCCTATGGAATAATTCATTATATAAATATCATGTCATCCATATCTATGAATAAGTCTGAGTTGGCCTTAACGCAGACCTTTTAATATTTAAATATTTGATGACGTGCATGTTAAGAATGTTTTATTTATCCTGAGTTCCAGAAAATGTATCTTCTGGGCATTTCTGAATAATGAGGTGCCTCCTAGCGGAGTGCTACTTCCCCTCCACCTTCTTCATGGTCACAAAACACACCCTAATGTGCTCACTTACACTACTTGGTGGCAAACGAGACCAGGCAAGAGTGCATGATGGGCATGAGTCAGTAAAATCGCCTCAACTATACTCATTATGCCAAAACTTAAGAATTTAGCTATTTAGATGTAAAATTTTAAGTTCACTTATTCAAGAAACTGCACATGGCCAGGCCTGGTGGTGCACACCTGTAATCCCAGCACTTGGGAAGCTGAGGTAGGAGGATGACAATTTTGAACCCAGCCGGGGCCACTTAACCATGTCTCAAAATAGAAAATCAAGCAGGCCTGAAATAGAGCAAAGCACCTGGATTCAATGCCTGGCACCACAGATTATCAAATAATAGTTGTCAGGTGTGAACCCAAGCCATCAACCAGACCAGGCATTCGGATGCGAGTAGATTTATTGGGGCATCAAGCAGGCTGGCTGTCTAGCGGACCACGGCAGCCATGAACAAAGAGGGGACAGGAGACTTTATAGGATCTTTTAGGGAGGGTGATCGCGGGCTGGAACAGCTGAGGGAGAGCTAGTCTTGGCAGGCTACCTGGTCTGTGGGGGACCTTTAATGGTAACAAAGGAGAGTTTCGTGGTTGCTTGCCCAGGTCAGAGTCAGGTGGACCTGTGCTGTGGTTTGGGGCTTGGCTCTGCGTGGGACCAAGGGGGACAGAGCAAGGGGCAGCGTGCCTGAGAAACCAAGAAGAGTGTTTAGGGCAGGGTGCCTGGGAAACTCTGAAAAAAAGAAACTGAGGCCATAGTATGGCTGTGGTCACACTCAAACTACTGATTGTCACTTTCAGAAATAACATCTATCACTAAATATCTCACAAAAACAAATACACTAACATCGACCAACCAGCAGTTTCTGGTAGTTGTTCTCTCAGGTAGGTATTATTGCCCTCATTTACAGCTAAAGTAACAAGCTCGACAAAGTTACGTGAGCTAAAGAAATAGTGAAGCTACGCAAGGTTACCTGGGGGAAAATCGGTTACTGGGCAAATTAAGTCACATGGACTTTTGGTGGTTCTGTTTTGCTGAGATAGAGTCTCACTCCGTAATCAGGCTGGCTTGCACTCACTATGTAGCCAAGCTGGCCTCCATGTACAGCAATCCTCCCGTGTCAGCCTCCTGAGTTTGACTGATTAAGGTATATGCCACCATGCCTGCCGAGCTCAGTCCTTAATTCCAAATCTCACACCCCTTCTTAGTAAGCTAGTGGTCTCCAATTTGAGTGCTCTTTCTCAAAGGCTGGACAATCTACCAAGTCCTAAGAACAGAAAGGGGCATACCTCTCTAAAACACTTTTTTCCCTTTTATTTTTTTTTATTAACTTAATATGACAATGACACATGAGATTTTGAAATAAATATAATTTGTGGCTTGTTACAATTATTTTAAGTTTAATTTAGGTGTTATAGCACCCAGAGTACTACTACTTAAACAAGCTATAAACTTACTTCTCCTTTGTAATCTAGTGTAGACGCTCTAAGGACTAGAACTCTAGCTCGGGACGGCAAGGTCCCGACTTCTTACTCCGCTGCGTTCCTGCTTCTGGCGCTGCCCTCACCAATGCGGGCGCCTGAGTCTCGGCAGCACCTTCCAGACGAAGGAAGGGGCCTGCCCCCGACCTCGGACACCATTTTTTCTGCTTCCGTGGCACTGGCCACAACTGTTTCTTAGCTGCGGGCAAGCTGGCGGCTTAGTCTTTAACCTGAGAGCCACAAATGCAGGTAATCCTGCAACTATACCAGAGAGAACAGACATGGCCAGCCAGCCAGGGACCTCTGCCGCAGGATGATGTTTTCACTACAACACACTTCTCTAGTATTTTCTAGCTCACCAGTACAGAAAGAGAACAAAGTGGACAAAAATGACAGGGACAGAGGGACAGACACACAGAGATAGAGCAAGGTGACCTGGAGAAAACCAGAACAACCCTCCCAGACTGATCTCAGGGTTGGAATTAACGTTAGGGTCATCAGTTAGAGGGGGAAAGGTTATGAGCTGTCCTAGAAGGCATGTGTGGAATTCTGGCGGTGGTTACGCAGAATGAAGACAACGTTCAGGGCCTGCAGCACTGTGTAGTCCCAGACACAAGTACCCAATCTTTGTCTATAAAATTTACCTACCCTGGATTGCTGATGAGAGAATGAAGAAATGGCAAAAGACATGACACAGCTCACCCAAAGCACCCAATAATATTACTACAGACTGAAAGACTTGGGAACTCCAGAGACACTCAGCACAGTGAACCTGAGGGTTATCAAAGGATAGCTAAGCTCTTAGCACTTGCTTATAGACTTCCGACCAGCCCAAACTGGTCTCCGCAGCCAAATGTGCTCTGACCAGGTCAAACTAGTCCTGATGACACTAGACCTTAAACAGCCTCTGGCACTCTGGAGAAGTCTGCGTGAGGGTCAGGACGGTGGGCAGGCTGGTGAATTGCCAGAAGGCTGCTGCCGGTGACGTCTGGAGCTAGCAATCACCTGTCCCGAGAGTCACAGAGCTTTGCTAGCTCAGGACGCACAGGGAAATCAGAACTGAATTGAACTGTAAGTTGTTATTCACCAACAAAGAATAATTTTTTTTTTTTTTTTTTTGGTGGGGGGATAAAATCATGTTTTTCTTATTCTGTCAAGTCAGCCTCTTATCGGTTCTTTCTGTAGTGGACACCAACTGGTGGTCAACTTGTCACACCCGGCTGGACTGCCCCAGCGTGGGGCTGGCTGTGGGAGGCCCCGAGGACTGCTGCCAGCGGCAGGAGAGGCAGAACTGGACAGGAAGAGGCGCTGGAGGGTGCTGCTGGCTCTCCTGCGGGAGCGGGTCGCACTGGCTTTCCTAATGACCTCGGCTGTTCCCGTCACTGAAGGCGCTCGAGACCTCGTTGTCCCAGAGGATGGCTACGGTCACTGTGGGGAGCTCTGGTCCTCACCTTGAGCACTGCTTCCGGGGTCCAGAGGGGAAGACGGTGCACCACTCGGGCTCCTGGAGAAGCTTGCCACGTTAGCTTTCCTGATGCGGACTCGGCTGCTCGCTCTGTCGGAGGAGCTCGGAACCTCGCTGTCGCTGAGGATGGCTGTGGTACTCTTGGGGAAGCTCTGGTTCTTCCTTTGAGCGTCACTTCCTGGCTCCAGTGCAGACCCCTCAGCCTGCTAGCGCAGATCCTCCGTCCCACTGGAAAGTGTAGCTTCCACCACTGACCTTCCAGCCTTCCCCGTGCAGACCCATGAAGCCGGCCTGCAGGAGACACTGTCGGGGGCTCTTGGCCTCCAGCTGGGCTGGTGGGCTCTAAGCTTTCAGCTGGACTCATGCAGGACAGTGCTGTGGGATCCAGGCCCTCAGCTGGGTTCTTTGTGTGTGCGCTGTGTGGACAGACTTCCTGCAGTCTTTGTATTTGACTGTGTGACTACTATACAGTAATATGTTCTGTATTAAACTGCTTCCCTTGTAAACCCTGACAACAACACTTTCTTATTCTTTTTGTATTTTTTTAGGGAAAGGTCTCCAGGGTGTTCAGGGTCTTACTACTAGATTGGACTCCTTTTTTTAAATTTTATTTATTTATGTGTGTGTGTGTGTGTGTCCAGCTCAGCCCGCCTGGGTGCGGGGCTGGCTGGCATGTGGTGCTGGGGATTGAACCGCGGTCCCTGTGCTTTGCTAAGCTTGTTCTAAGTAGGTGCTTTAGACCACTGAGCTATCTTCCCAGCCCCGACACTTTCTTATAAAGCTTAAAAGACACAAGAAAGGTTACATTCTGAAGATGATTATTTATTTTTGTACTGGGGATTGAACTCAGGACCTCGTGCTTGCCAGGCAGTCCCTTAAGCCACTGAGCTATCTCCCTGACATGAAGCTGATTATTTAAATGGGAATTTTTAGCGAGCATATTTTTTTAATGAGATTTTTCCTTTTATGTAAAATGGCAGAGTGAAATATTTGGTTGCTATGGTAAAGTTGTTCTTTTCTAAAACTTATCAGTCTACATTTTCTCCAGACTGGACACTTTTCAAAATTAAGTCATCTAAAAAGTAAAAAGAAGAAATTTTGAAGTTTATGTTCACTATTAGAGGTACTCTGGAAATGAAAACATAGTACAATTCTACTATGAGGCCAAAACCAAATTTTTACTACTTTTTTTTTTTTTTTTTGGTGACTAGTCAAGTTCTATATTTAAATAAAAATATATCAAAGACTCTGTTACATTCAAGTAATTATTTTTTTCTCCTTTAACACAGAAAAATAATTATTAAGGCTGGAGGGAAATGTAATGTTGATTATGTGCTGCTTTTTACTGCTTTTCAACATCTAGACCTACATTTCTGAGGCTTTTCTATTGTTGTTTTTGGGGTTTTTTGATACCAGGGATGGAACTCATGACCTTACGTTTGCCAGGCAGGAGCTAGAACTACATTTCTGGGTGAGACTGTAGCAGCTGTACTGTACATGCTTTATGTGAACACTCGAAAGCAGGCACTTGGCCTACACGGCACACGGACAGTGTCGGGAGGGAGAGTGTCCCACGTCACGAAGCGCACCAGGCCACCCACTCTCCTGTTTGGATGCTGGTCTCTGGGACTTGAGCCCAACGCATGCCACCGGATTTGTCCTTCTGGAGGGCATTTACTTTCTGCAACTGGGTTTGAAAAATGTAAGATAAAGACGGCAAGATCTAATTGAACACACAGAGATAACCATATTCCCCCACTTTCAGAGATTTATACACATTTAATTTTTAAAATGAAAGAAAAATCAAACAGATTTAGTTAAAGTCACTTCCCTGGTTAGCACCTTCTCACAAGCGCCCCCCGGAAGATGTCTTTTTCCTCCCTGGCCTCTTCTCTCTGAAGGACTCACCTGAGTCATCTTCCTATAAACAATGAAAAACAGGGCCAAATAAAATTTTCATGCTGAACACACACTTTCATCTTTCTGCACTGTCTGTTCAAAACAACCATGCCAAGTATTTTCGGTTCTGATTAAATTTAATCTTGGGATTTTATATAAATTCCCAAATCTGAGTGTGAAAAGCTTCATGCTGCCCCGAGTCGTAAGTCATTAAGTCAGGAGGCTCCTTGAGAAATCATGCAGTCCTAGCTCTGCCCAGCACATCCCCAAACACCGTACTGTCTGTGTACTCTCTGTGCTTCTGTCGTAGGCTAGTGTGTCACAATACACTGCTGGCTGAAAGGCAAGAGTGTTTCAAAGCAGCTATTAAAAGGCCAGTACATACTGGTGTCTGCAAAGTAAAAAGAAACCAGGAAGCTTTGGTTACAGATTAAACGGGGTGAGCTAGGTCTAGAACACAGATCATCCCTAGAGACCAACGAAAACCCTTTCTGGAAAGAAAATAGGAGGCCCATCTGCCTCTCAGGCTGTGCTTGCGGCATGTCCATCACGGGCACATCTCACGGGCAGCGGGCGCGAGGTGCAGGCTGCCCCACACCCCCAGCACTTCCTGCTTGAAACTCATGCACCTCTTGGGGGTTCCTGCTGTCATTTTTGCTGTCATCAGTACTTGTTTTTGCATTTCTCATTACCCATTTATTTTAAGCTTCTTTCAACATTTTTATCCTTTTATCTATGTATTCTCTAAAGTAAAATTCTGATTTTCCAAATTCATAATCCTTGTTAAACAAAGAGCCAAGACTACAGAGACAAACGCCAGAGACTGCATCCTGATGCTGATATTCAGGCCGTGCGATGGCAGACAAGTGACTAGACCCCTCTGGGCTGGGGCTGCTCCACATGCTAGAGGGGAGGAGCTCAACCGCACAGAGAAGGTGACCGGAGAGCGCCCAGCAGTGGCCGAGCATGAAACAAAAGCTGGCGTTACCCATGAGCCGAGCTTCTGCGCTGGCCCCTTTGGGCTCTTAAAACTGCTCTTTGGAGGAGGTGACACTCTATACAATGGATTCTATTCAAACTACTTTATGTAAGTTCTTCAGAACATTAAAATATTCATACCCTCCAGGTGTCTTAGAATTTTTATTACTCTGCTAATAAAAAAGTGTTACAGTGCATGAGGTCCAGGGTTTAATGCCCAACACTGCAAAAATACATTGTCCTTACGTGGTACAATAAGGACACCAGTGCTCAGGCCCCGCTGGCAGGCCCCGCTACTGTTCTCACCCACTAAGTGCACCGGTGGAAACGGGCAGTCGCAGCGTACACAGTCGTCATGTCTGCATGAATCTGTTCCCTAACCCCAGCGCTGGCTCAAGAAAGTATAAGGCATCTCCAGTTTATAACTGAAGCACAAGGAGCTCAAAAGGGTCACAGCCACGATTCAAATGGGAATAGCTCCAAGCCAAGGCCTGAATGCTTACTAGTTTTACAAACTGCTTCTTCAGAACAGCAACTGTATTAAGGATACCAACCGAGGCCACTGAGTTAGGGACTTGAATTTTCTCTGTCGTCTCTCTGAGGCGGTCCACCTCTGCTCGATATTCATCTAGCTGACATTCTAATTTTTCTCTACGCAGTCGTTCATACTCTAGCTGGCCTTGCAGCCCTTTGATGATCCTGTCAAAAAACAATTTTTGCAATCAATTTCCAATGTCAATAATTTATTTTGGTAACAGTAGAAAGTACTGTATCCATGTGTTATGTGTAAGGCAAATAAAATGAAGAAATCACTTAGTTAACAACTATATCTTAAAGGTTTACTATGAACCAGCAATGGATCCAGGTGCTAGGGATAGTGACAAATGGCCAAACCTTAGGAATGAAGGAAGGCCAACAGCAAAATGTAATAGAGTATGCTGGAAGGTGGCAAAGCCTAAGGGAGAAAAAAAGCGGAAGAGAGTAGCATAAAGTGCTCCAGATGAGGTGACACTTCATACGTAGGGACCAGGGAAAGCCTCCCTGAGCAGAGGGCCTGGAGCAGAGGCTGGCATGAAAAGAAAGAGATGAGCATTTAGATACAGAATGGCAGCAAGCAAAGTGCAAAGGCCCTAAGACTTGAGAGTGGCTGGGAAAGCGCCCAGGGCCATGTGGCTGGGTTAGTTTAACCCTTCAGAGGCTGTGACTGATCTCAGATACAATTCTGGCCCACAGCCTCCACAGGGTCAGACTCAGAAGAGGGATGCCAGTCAGCAGGAGGAGAACCAGAGCACAGAGGGTTTGTAGGCCACTATAAGGATTTACAGTCTCTGAGTAAGATAGGAAGCCAAGGGAGGGGCTCAACAGAGAAACAGCCATAGTCTCACTTGCATTTTAATACGATTATCCTACAGGCTGCATTGAGAGCAGCCTGCATGGGAGGGGGTAGCATCCAGGCACAAGGACAGGGAGCTGGGACACTATCAGGAGAATGTTAAATAATCCAAGTGGAGTTTGGTGACATATACTGTTATCGCAGCATTCTGGGAAACTGAGGCAGGAAGACATGTTCAAGACAAGCCTAGGAAAATTAGTGATGTAGCAAGACCCTGTCTCCAGCTGGTTATGATGGTGCACTCCTGTAATCCCAGCACTCAGAAGGCTGAAACAGGAGGATCCTTGCAAGTTCAGTACCAGCCTGGGCTACAAAGTGAGCTCAAGGCCAGCCTAAACTGCATCATGAGATTCTGCCTCAAAAAGACAAATAAAAAATAATTATATAAAAAAAAGACCCAGTCTCAAAAAAAAAAAAAAAAATAGTTGGGCTATGGATATAGCTCAGTGGCACGGCACTGGCTTGCCAAGTGTGAAGTCCCAAGTTTGATGCCTGGTACAAAAAAAAAAAAAAGTAAGAATAATAATAATAATTTCAAAGGCTTAGGATGTTGCTGATTAAAAATTTTTCACACAGTATTTAGAGAGTCAACTTAATACAAATCCCTACAATGTTAAGGGTGTTACTTTTCAGACTCCAGCTGCTCCTTCTTCCGCTGCACATCCTCTTCCGTTATCCCGCCCAGGTGTTTGTAGTTGCTCTCTGCAATGTCCAGGAGGTGCCGCAACTCCACAATCTTCTTATAAGCTCGCACTGCAAGGCAGCAAGATCCTAACTTACTCAGTGTGTTCGCAGGCTGCTCATCTTTCCAGACGCATCCTCCCTCCAGAGCCGCTGTCTGCGGTGTGGACAGGGAGCTGGGGCGTGGCCTGCACAGTACACAGAGGTGACCTTGGCAGCAGAGTGCTGGACGCACAGCATGGTACACTCCAGTGGTGATTCTCCCCCAGTGACGGGGGCAGGTCGCAGCCCACTGTGACTGTTAACGCTGTGCACACTGTTTAAAGAAATCCAGCAGCATACGAGGACTGCTGCTGTTACAGGACCACTGATGGGCCACTGTACGTCAGAAGATTTGAACACAATGAAATATGCCTAACTAAAATAAACCAGAACTGGGGCCAGGGAGATG